ATCACATCACAGACATACAAATGCACATGTCTTAAGAACACGTCAAAACTACACTAAACATTTGACGATTTTTTGATAATTCCTAGCAACTATTTCAGCCTTCAACATTGTCTCCCTGGTACCTCAGATGTCTTCCGTCGATTCCGTCGATGGAGACAACGACCAAGCTTATTTGTTGTCACCTGTCTACTGTATGGTTCTTGGAGCTGCAGGCAAATGGACATAGTTTAGAACCATACAAGAAGTATTATAGCTAAATGAAACAATTCACCAAATTACAGATTCCAAATTGAAGTTTTAGATTCAGGCACGAAGACAGGAACTGTTAGCTGCAATATATAATCATTTGATTATTCCATTATTTTTGTGCTATGTTATCAGCCAAGAGAAATGATCTATGCATACAAGCTACAATCCGTTTGCGGCCAGGATACAGTTGCACCTAATAGGGATGACTTTGTCTAACTTCATGTCTCATTTCTGCAATATAAATACAGGATAGATTTGAAAGGAAACAAATCATACCCCTAAATTAATGAGCCTACAGTATCATAACAAAAGTCACCAATGACCACATGAACTGGAATCTCAAACTAAGCAAGTAAGCTACTTTACCACATATTCTGGAAAGTCAGAAGCATGATACCTTTTGATACTGGATGGATGTGGTCTAGTGCCGATTTCCACGAGAGCAAAAAATGAAAAGATAGAAATGCTCATCGCCAAGTAACTGGTGTGATTAGCTTGGACAATTTCTAAAACCTCCTACATCCACAATCAGAAGCAAATGGAAACCTTTCTTCATATATTTAAACACCAATTAATAATATTGTGAAACATGTACCACCCAAACATTTAGGTCCAACAAACTAAAAGAGTTAGCACAAAAAGGGGAAGGAAAACTAAGTATCCACCTTGCCTGTTTTCCCCTATCAAAACCAGAGGGTTCAAACCATTTGAACCCAAAGAAATGAATCCATTCTTAGACCACACCAAACTGTTTCCTCTTGCAATCCAAACCGAACCAGTCCATCAATAAGTGCAGCCCATTTGCATCCAAACTAAACTTGACCCAGCAGAAAAATGAAATAAGCAAAATTTTCATTGCACCAGTCACAAATAACTTTTTTCAAAACTCAATGCCGAAGTGTCAAAAGGCCAGCTAACATATCATTTTGCTTATAATAAAGTGCAATCTAGCAGAAGAGGAACCTCTCACTTTGCTACCAGGAACTGTGTCCTCTTCCAGACAGAAAGATGCCAAAAAAGTACTTATTGATTGGATGCCATTAGCTAACAACCATGCTTATGCAATTCACAAACAATTTGCAGCTCTATGTGGCCACGAATATTCAACTGGAGTAAACATTTAATTAGATCATGCTGCTCAACCATGGGTTAACAAAGCAGGTCTACCATCCAGTCAAAGCTTATAGTCTTGTCAAATTCTAGAATATTATGATATTATACACTTCTGTACCAAATATAATATTGTACATTTTTTGTAGGAATAGTACATTTTTTCCTTATTGTTGACCATAAACAGAAGCATTTAGTGGAAAGTGTTGCCCTGAAACTTAAAATGAAGTTTGTTTGTATAGCAATGTAACTCCCTAATGAAAGTTGACTCGATACAGTAACTCGATAATATCTGCTAGGAACCTTTTGACATAAATTTAACCATTAGTAGTAATAAAAATAGGAGACTTTGAACCATGCAGATAAAAGAGCATCGGATAATAATCAGCATTTCTCTATAATACATGTTGCTACCAGTGTTCTGTTTAGTTTTAGATTTCAGCAGTGTCTAAAACAAGCAGGGAAAATGCATGGACAATTGGACATTATGACAAGAGAGAATTACCAGCTACAAAACCGCTTGACACATCAAGGGCAAGGGATCATTAAACTTAGCAAAAGAATTAAAAGCTGAAGCAAAAATTGCAGTCAATTCCCATCAGATTAAGTAACATGATATAAATATTCATATTCAGGCATCAAGAGAAACCTTTCTATTTTATACATGTTGCTTTGATTCTCTCAGCCACCTACTTCCTTCTGGGTGCTGGAGGCTAGTGCAGAGCTATAGGGCGCCTCGCCGTGACACTAAAATTCATCGTATCACAAGATTCTATTTACCACTAACTATTTGGCTTAATTAAGCAAAAAACCTACTTTTGACTAAAAGAAATCAGTAGCCTAGAAATCACACTGGGAAGAATATTCAATTCAAAAGACACGGGAGGATAGATTAGCGAGAGGTGTGAGGCACGACAGGAAAAAAAGATACAGCCTGAGGGGGATGCTGCTCTCCTGGATGACTTCGCTGCAATGGCAGGTCCCGTAGCTGCTCCTCCATCAGGCAGAATGTGTCGATTGCCTGCCTCTACCTAGGCCGGATCCTTCCCCGCACTCCGTCAGAGCAGCCACTGCTGCAGCCATCAGTGGAGGTGGCGGCAGGGAAATAGCTTTGTGCCTGCAATGCAATCAGAGCATAGGACTTCAAAATTCGCACCTAATATACTACTCATCCGTACATATCAGGACATCGGGACATAAGAACAATCAATGATGAAACCTAAATCGAACATGTCATGGAGACCTGAGTCCAATACATCATGGAGAACCAAATCGACTCCGTCTGGAAACGGGAGGCCGAGACGGATGTGCCTCGTGTGCGAGGTCCGGCAAGCAGCAACGCCACCGCGGCGGAGGGAGCAGGGCCATGGACGGCGACCTCCGGCCACCGGGAGGCCAAGACGGATGGGCATGGTGGGGGAGGCAGCGTGTCCGTGGCCGACGAGCGCCAACCGCCGGCTGACGGGTGACCGAAGTAGACGGGCGCACGTACCTGTGGCGGCGGCCTGTTGGGTTCCATCGCCGGGATCTGGACGGAGCATGCCGGAGTACTCGAGCAGCGCGGTGAGCGCCGCCTGATGAAGCTAGACGCCGAGAAGTGCACGTCGTACCTCCTGGACGGCACGGGCGGCCGGCTATTCGCCTCGTCGTCCGGCCTGGGTGGCCGTGGCAACGGTCTAAGGGATGGCCGCGGGGTCCGCACGCGCCGGCGGAGCCTCGGAGGCTGCAGGCGTCGCTGGGGCGGGGGCACGATCTCGCGTCGGGGTGCCGCAGCTCGAGCACTCCTTGCCTGCGGTCGCCGTCGCTGCGAGTGGGAGCGCCGCCGCCGCAGCTACGAGTGAGGTTGCCGTCGCTGCTACGGAATTTTTTTTCCCCGCTCGTGCGTGATTTCGGAGAGGGGTTGCGGCCTTGCGGGCAAGGGGAGCGGAGACGCTCTGGGGTGGGAGATCAAAGAATATCGGCCGTCGGATGTGGTTGAGTAAGGAGAGAGAATGAGTGAGAGTTAATTTGATGCGTACGTTTTTAATGTCATCTTTTTCTATGTGCGTTTTGTGGGATGGACGTAGTTTAGGTCATAACTGTAGATGTGGGATTTATTTGGTGGCTATAGGATAATTTAAAGTAGTATATTATAGGGGTAGAGATAGAGATAGAGATGACTCTGGTAACCTGATGTTATTTCACAAGCAGCTTGTGCTGTGCTTGCTATCAGTTAAAATCACATTACAAGTTACCCTAAATTAATCACATTAGATGTTCATGAAACATAATTCACGGATAGATTTTTCATTAACGACAATATAAAATCCCCAAATTTTTTTAATAACGTATGCTAAGAAAACTCGAATACGTATGCTGCAGAAACCAGAATAATATTTCTCAGCTTCTCAAAAAAGAAACAAATGATATTTTCCAGTCCCAACGGGAAAAAAAACGAGAGAGGAAAAAAAAATGGCAGGCGGCAATCCAACGGCGGGGACCTCGGCCCCCGCCCGCGGCATAGAAAAATCGCGGCGGCGCCGACGAGGGGGGCAGCCTCGTCATTTCCCGCGCCCTCCTGCTTTCCCTTTATCTCTCCCTCACCTCCCCACGTTTCGCCCCCATTTCGAAGCCCACCGAAATCCCTGCGATTCCTCTCCCCTCGCCTCCTCGTCTTCCTCTAGGGTTAGCACCTCGCTACCCCCCGATTCAATCCGATTACCGTCCCTTCTCCCTTCGATCTGTAGATTTGGGGGCTTTGGCTCGACCTCGCGCGCCCGATCCGGGCCGTCCCTTTTTCTGTTCTCTCTCTTTGTTCTCCCTTGATTGACAAATATTTGATCGGTTTCTATGCCTCGTTCGCGCAGGGATCGCCGGAGAGGAATCGCAGAGGGCCGTCTCATCCGAGGTTCGTGTGTCTGGCCACTCTGCATCCAATTTCTTTTTTTCGGATTTTTTTAAATTTTTTGTTTTAATTTTTTTTCTGTTGTCCGTGTCAAAAGCTGTGAATTATATATATTTTTTGTGTGCTGGTTGAATGGGTCGATGCGGAACTAATTGAGCCGCCCCGATTTATTTGATTTGGCCTCGATTCGCTGTAGCAGACAGCGGACAACAGCCAGAGAAAAATTCGGGGGATTGTTCTGTTCATCTGTTATAAAGGCGACTCCTTTCCTTTCCACGTATTGGGTGTGGTTGTTGCGGCTAGTTGATGCCTGCCTCTTTAGGTGCTTTGCCCAAAGTTAGTGAGCAGATATGGTTGCTACTTTGTAGATTTGTTGCGTAAAGCGGCGAAAAGTTGCGGCCTCTTTCTAGAATTAATTCCACCCCTGGTGTGTTGCCGACTTGCCGTTAGGTGATTCGGTTGTTGGCCAAATGATAGTGCAGGTTCCATTTGATAGTACCTTCATTTTGGGCGTTTGGCCAAGGTACAATTACCCTTTATAAGATGCTTCTTAAAGTAAATTTAGTCCATCAGAGGGTTTTGATTCATTAGGTTGCCGCATGTCTTACTGAATCAAGGCAGTACCAACTTTCACATGGATTTTACGATTGTTTTTTTACTATACTAGTAGCAACTTTTAGGAAGCTGCGTGTGATACATTATGTCTACTACTCTGGTATTGATCCTTTGTTTCGTATCATTTCTAGTTAAGGAAGCCATGGAGCACAAGGAGACTGGATGCCAGGCCCCCGAGGGACCCATCCTTTGCATCAATAACTGCGGCTTCTTCGGAAGCGCAGCTACCATGAACATGTGCTCCAAGTGCCACAAGGAGATGATAATGAAGCAGGAGCAGGCCAAGCTGGCTGCCTCCTCTATCGACAGCATCGTCAATGGCAACGATGCTGTCATGGAACCAGTTGTTGCTGGCAACACAGTGGTAGCTGTTGCTCCAGTTGAGTTGCAAACAATGAACGTGCAGCCCACTGATGTTGCTGGACCTAGCGAGGGGGCGGCGGTGATCTCCAAAGGGAAGGTAGGGCCAAACCGGTGCAGCACTTGCAGGAAGAGGGTTGGACTTACAGGATTCAACTGCCGGTGTGGGAACTTGTACTGTGCACTCCACCGCTACTCCGACAAGCATGACTGCAAGTTTGACTATCGGACTGCTGCTAGGGATGCCATTGCCAAGGCTAATCCAGTGGTGAAGGCGGACAAGCTCGACAAGATCTAGGGTTTCCTATGGTTGGCTCAAGGAAGATTGCAACCTGTGGTACTTCTTCATCATGCGGAATTGCTGCTCTGCCCATGCCTTTCCCTTTCATGTTTGCTGCTACAATCTTGTTGTTCGGCATTGCAATGCATGGTGCACACTTCCGCAGCCTGCCTCAAGAATTCTCGCCTCTGCATCTGGTCAGTTCAAATGATTTGCATGTTGGCTATGTTGTGTAAGCTTTTATTTGTGGTCGTCTCGCTCAGACGGTATTTGGCTTCGCATTTAGCTAGCTATGTGATGTACTATTGTTCCTGGTGTGTTACACTGCAACCAGTAATAGTAATATGCAACTGTCCGTGAAATGGTACTGATGACCATTTGCATTCTCAGTTATTTTACTCTATAGGTGGAAGTCTCATGGCACTATACTTTTGTTTTGTTCATAAGTAAAGCTTTTTTTTTTGGTTGAATAGCAAGTTGGAAGGACTTTGCATATCAAACATTGCTGTACCTGCGAACTGGGAGCAGTCATGTCTCACTACAGTATCTGTTGAAATCCTTGACACATCTTGATTGCACATAAACTAGTATAAGTTGGGAAGAAGATCGAGCAGCTTATTGGAGTACCTAGAAGATTGATTATGAAGTAGAGTCTCTCTACAAGGAATTGGTCATAAATCATAATTAAGCTCAATACAGCCTTTCTAAACATCAACTCTTCATTCGAGCATCAGATAGCTCAGTTGAAACTTAAATATTGTTTTGTGGATATTCATGGCATTATTTTACTGTTCCATTTTTAACACTCTGCAAAATTCCAAATTCAGCTGGATTGGATGTTCATCGCACTGCTTTTGTTGTGCCGACGGTTCTACATCCTTTGTGCAAGTGCAACTTGAAAGGATAGTTCGAAAGATAGATGCACGTCAAACGTTTGTCATTCTAGGTTTCAACTTTGAAACATGAACCTGAGATTTTTTTTTCCCACATGATCTGCGTCAACGTGTTGTGGAGAAAAAACACTCCCATCTTCTCTCACAAGACCTGCTATTGAAAGAGTTGAAAAAAAGAGATCTGCTATTGAATGTGATGAATGGTCTCCTCGCTGTCAAGAGTACTGTTTGGATCTTGGATCTCATTCATATTTCCTCTCATTTCTGTGCAGCGCCAGATGCAGATTCCTGTTTGATGGTTACCGTTGTACCAATCACAAGTACCCGTATTGCCGATCCAAAGATGATCTGCAATCATAACACCGGATCAACCGCGACATTTGAGAGTTATTGACGAGCGAGATAGGTGTCCATGGTGTCCCCATGATGGCATGGCATGGCATGGACAGCTGCCCAAGCCATGCCTTTGCACAGGGATTTCGATGTATATTTTTTTAGACAAACTCGAGAGCTTTATTAACTCACGTGGGTTATTTTAATCCCTATAATTGCCAATTCCCTAGGCCAGTCCGGAGCTTTGCCAAAACCAGGAATTAAAAGGTTTAGAACTAGAGGTCTTTCCTGTGCAACCATGTGCCACAGTATTGGCATAAAGTAAAGTTTAATAAAGAAAGAAAATTTCTCCCCGGCTCTCGAATCTCATGTCAAATTCCTGCAATGGGCAATTTCTCGACTTTAGTAGATTCATCAGTAGTATGTTGGGTTACCTTTCTATAGCCCAGTGCCACTTCTAACAGAAGACCATCTCTTGCCACCAGTGTCTCCATAGTGAGCACATCCGGGGCATCGTGTTTTGTTTACTTCAAATGCTTTACAGCACTAGAACCCATGTCGTATTTTGTTTCAATATGCATCCATGTATGTGCCGTTGATGAAAAAAAAAAGCTTCGTGTAAGGGCCGGTCTAGAATTGGCCCACTCTAGATTTTAAGACTCCGCACTCCGAAGTCCACTCCAATCCTATGTTAAAGGTGCTGGGGCAGAGAATTAATATGTGTTTGGCTCGTAGAAATACGTCTGTGTTTCAAAATTAAAAGTCGATTTCTCTTTTCTAGATAATAGCTTTAAGCTCAAACGACTTGTAATTTGGAATGTAGGGAATAGTAGGATAGTCTTGTCTGTTGGTTCCGAGATCTCCCGCACGAATGAGCTGACCACTCACCGTTATTGTCGACCACACACACTACGGCTGCAGGTAGAAAAGGGAGGGAGAACAGAGCACACACACAACACAAGTACCAGCGTTGGCCGGAGCTCTGCAGAGGAGATGTCAAAACTGAGCTCGCTCACTTTACTGAGTTGCAATGGGAAATTATATATACAACTCTACCCATCTAATCATAGTACACATACATGCCAGGCTGTCATGTTGCTACAGTGACTAGATGTGACAGCAGAGCTGACTTTGGCGCCTGCCCCTGCTGTGGTTACAGTGCGGTAAGGGAGCCTTTCGACGCCTGTCCCTGCCGCGGCTACAGTGCAGCAGCAGGGAGCCCTTTCGGTGCATGCCCCTGCCGCGCGTTCAGAGATGGGAGAGCAGCAAATTACTTTATAATTCTTCTACTAATCCTGCTGCTAACCCTAGAACCTCTACCACGCCGATCATCTTCTTCAGCTCCGTGAGCCGAAGACGGCCGAGCGGCTTAGTGAGGACGTCCGTGAGTTGCCGACCAGTTTCGACGAACTCGATGACCATCTGTCCTCCGTCGACACAGTCCCTGAGGAAGTGGAACTTGATGTCGATGTGCTTGCTTCGGTCGTGGAGAACCGGATTCTTCGCGAGGGCGATGGCGGACTGGTTGTCCACCATCAGTGCTGGTGGGTGAGCTTCCACAACGGTCAGCTCGTCCAGCAGCCGGCGTAGCCACACAGCTTGTCACGCCGCTGTGGTCGCCGCCACATACTCTGCCTCTACACGTGGCGACGAGGGAAGGAGGAGCTCGTCATCGGCGTGTATATGGATGACTTGATCGTCAATGGCGCGTGTGCGGAGGACATCGATAGCTTCAAGCGCGAGATGGCGGCTCGTTTTCGAATGAGTGATCTCGGCGCGCTCTCCTACTACCTCGGCATCGAGGTGAGAGAGGGGAAGGAGACGCTCACGCTCGGTCAGAGCGCATACGCCTCGAAGCTGTTGGAACGGAGCGGCATGGCTGAGTCTAAGCCGTGCGTGACTCCGATGGAAGAGCGGCTGAAGCTGACGAAGGCCAGTATCGTGGCGAGGGTAGATGCAACACTCTACCAGAGCATCATCGGCAGTCTGCGCTACCTAGTCCACACGAGGCCGGACATTGCGTTCGCCATGGGCTACGTCAGCCGCTTCATGGAGGATCCCCAAGAGGATCACTAGGCCATGGTGAAGCAGCTATTACGCTACGTCAAGGGGACGGTGGATCAGGGATCGTCTTCCCCAAGACCGGTGAAAGTGGGCTGCAGCTCACTGTGTTCAGCAATGCAGACATGGCGAGGGACATCGACGGACGCGTGGAGCACCTCTAGCGTGCTCGTCTTCCTCGGGTCGGCTCCAATCTCATGGCTGTCGCTGAAACAAAAGGTGGTGGCGTTGTCCACGTGCGAGGCAGAGTACATGACGACGGCCACAACGTCGTGCCAAGCTATATGGCTGCACCGACTGCTGGGCGAGCTGACCGGTACGGAAGCTCACCCACCAGCACTGATGGTGGACAACCATCCCACCATTGCCCTCACGAAGAATCCGGTTCTCCATGACCGGAGCAAGCACATCGACATTAAGTTCCACTTCCTCAGGGACTGTGTCGATGGAGGGCAGATCGTCATCGAGTTCGTCGAAACTGGTCGGCAACTCGCGGACGTCCTCACCAAGCCGCTCTCGATCCTGAATCTTTAGGATCCCGCTCTCGATCAGTACCTCACATCCGCGCTCGTCCAGCTACCCGATGTTGACGATGCTTGAACGCAGCTACAGAATGTAGCACACATCCGTTAGCGCACGGTGCTCACCATTCTAACACCTGAGATGATGGTGATGCGCCCTCGGATCGCCACCCTTGAGCCGTCACCGAACTTCACTGTGCCGGTCACGTTGCCATCGAGCTCGGAGAAGGCTTTTTTGGAGCCCATCATGTGGTTGCTGGCGCCGGAGTGCAGGTACCACCGCTGCTCCTGCTCGCCGCCCACACGTCCGAGGTAGACTTGGGCACGTGGTTCATCGAGGTTGATAGCCTTCAGAGCCTTGCCATGCCCTTCCACCGCCATCACCTCTCCCTTCTCCTTGGCGTCAATGTCGTGCAGTGCACAGAACGTTGCCATTAGGAGAGTGGCCTCATCATCCTCATCAGCCTACGCTAAATGAGCCTCAGCCTTCTTCTCTTATTTATGATTTGGGCACTCCTTTGCCCAATGGTCCATCTTCCCATAGTGCTAGCAGACGTTGGGGTCGACCTTCTTCTTCTTCTCAAGAAGGCTTGCCGTGGCACTTGCCATCGCCATCGCGGTTGGAGGAGGCTTCCTCGGACTTCTTCTTCTTCATCTGGGGAGACCACTCCTCCTCTATCAGCAGCAGCTTGCCGCTGTCCGTCATTGCTGTGGCTTGCTCCATGCACTTGTCCACCGCCCGTAGATGGCTTGTCACATCCTTAATGGTGAGGGTGGACAAGTCTAGCATCGTCTCTATGGAGAGAGCGATCTGGATGTACTTCATCGGCACGAAGTGGAGGTACTTGGAGACCGCTTCTTCTTCATCGATGGTGACGCCGTGGCTCCTCAGCTTGCTGATGAGGGACTGCAGGCGGAGGGAGAAGTCCTCCATTGACTCACCATCCTTGAACTTGAGGTTGGCGTACTCCTGCTTCAGCAGCTGGGCTATCGCCTTCTTTGCGCGATCAGAGCCGACGCGTATTGCTGCAATGGCCTCCCACGCCTCCTTAGCAGAGTTCTTCGCCCCCAACGGCTCCCTATACTCCACTGGCATAGCAGCGAGGATAGTCTCCAACGCTGACATGTTGTCTTCTTTGTTGTCGGTGCCCTTGTCAATGGCATTCCAGAGCCGTCGGGCTCTGAGCTTGACCTTCATGGTCACCGCTCA